ATGACCTCTGCCAGCTCCTTTAAAACTCTGGGATGTAATCCATCAGGCCCCGGTGATTTGTTTTCATCAAGATCAGACAGGTGTTCTCTTACTATTTTTTTGCTTATTTTAACTTTTATTTCTGGTCTGTCTGGGCACTTGAAGACGTGTGGACTTCAACTCCCAGAATTCCCCAGCCAGCCATGGAGGGTAACTTTCTTAATAGACGGTGGGAACGCAGTAAGCGTAATATATCTTGACTTCAGCAAAGGCGGGGGGGAAGGACCTTTTTTCTGTTTATGTTTGATATGTACTGTTAACAAATGCAGTTTTTTATATGTATCGTATCTTGTGCTGACCCGGCCCGCCTGTCAAATTTTAAAAGTCAATGAGGCCCCCGAGCCAAAAAGTTTGCCCACCCCTGATCTAGGGAATACTGGAAGTTCGACGTTTGAAAATGTTCAACTTTTCAAAACTTCAAGTTTGAAAAACACTTTATTTGAAAATCCTTATCAGAAACAAACTCTTGAGTTTTGTGAAATGGGGAAAGCGCGCTCAGATCCAGTTTCAGGAATACCCACATGGACATTAAACGGAAACATCGGTGTGCCTGAACTTCTAATACAAGCATCGCTAGCTGGGAAAAATTCAGCCGCAGTCTGAATTTTGTGGGGATGCGATTCAAGGCTGCAACCGTGTCTCTTGTCGGTTCTGACAAAATCCAAACCGACAACGGGTTGAATTCCATCCCACCTCAGAATCCATTTCTTGTGTTTGGCAAATGAAAATTTGCACTAAAAATTTGACTGAGCGGCCACAGTCAGAACAAGAATTTCCGTTGTTAAGCGAGGTGGATGTTCAGGGAGCCGTGCCTGATTTCACGACCTTTTGTTGTTGTTGTTGTTAAGCAAATCACCACAGCTGTTAAGTGAATCAGGCGGTCGTTAAGCAAGTCCAGCTTCCCTTGTGAGCTCGTCGTAAGACAGCCGGGAAGGTCCTAAATGGGGATCACGAGATCCTGCAAGTGTTACAAAATTCGTGCCGGTTGCCAAAACACCTGAATCTTGATTATATGACTACGGGGTGTGTGTTATGCATTGTGGTGAGTCACTTTTTTTGAACAGTTGCTAAACAAGTCATTGTAAGTTGAGGACCGACTGTTACTTTAGACAATAAACTTCCCAGTTATTTTCTGGAGAGGAAAAAAAAAGGCATAGTGCCACCAGAGCCTCGAAGTACAAAGTGTATAATAATAATAATAATAATAATAATAATAATAATAATAAAAAAGAAAGAATTTCTGGTTAATTCATTTGCAGCAACTTCCATAAATGCATTAATTTCCAATCGCAACTTTCGGAGAGATGGACTTCAACTCCCGCATGTGCCGGCTGGGGCATTCTGGGAGTTGAAGTCCGTCCCTCTTAAAAAGTCGCCGAGGTTGGAAAACGCTTAGCAAAGCAGCAACATTAACATGGGGCCAACAAGCGGGCGTGTTCCGAGTTCGAGAGGTCCACTCTCGGGAAGGAGAAGGGGGAAACATTGAGGTCCTCGCTTAAAAGAGACCGAATCAAAACGTCCATTTTCTTTTTTCAGGGCGCGCCTAAAATAAACCCGTTTCGTCTTCCTTCCGCTCGACAGAGGAGGGATTTGTGCCAGCCACCACCTCCGTGCCCAAGAGAAGCCGGTCCCTTCAACCCAGGTGTTGTTTTTTTTTGGCCGGGCCTTTCCAGTCCCTTTGGCGGGCCTTTCCCCCCCCCCCCCCCCCCCCCCCCCCCACCCCAAGACCCCTCCTCCCTCCTTGCCCCTTCCTCACACCCACACTTTCTCTCCGGCCGCATCGAGGTCCTGCGAGCAGCAGCCGCAGCAGCCCACGCTGTGGTAGCGGCTGGCGGGCAGGTTCTTGTAGATGGCTTTGCTGTAGGGCACCAGGCAGTAGCCGAGCTGCAGGCGGCGCGCCAGGCGGCAGTAAGCGGCCAGAGCCAGGACCAGGAGGGGCACCAGCAGGGTGAAGCCCACCACCAACAGGCCCACCGCAGCCGAGTCGTGCAAATGGTCGGTGCAGTAGTGCTCCTGGGTGTTTAGGAACTGCAGAAAGAAAAGAGATAAAGGGGGCCATTAGGTGTGTCTCCCTTACGAGGCCGGGCTCTGGCACCTCACACGCGTGCAAAGGCGCACATTATAGGGATGCATCATCTTCCTGGCTCATTGAAGCTGCCACACACACCCCCACCCTCCCCTCCCCTCGGCCCTTCCCCTCCGGCTCCTTTAGCTGCCAACTCAGGTGAGCGTGAGGGGAGTTTTAGCCTCGCTCCCTGAGGAGGGGAGGGAGAGAAGGAAATAGGGCAGAAGGAGGGGAGGGAAAAGAAGGGAGGGAGGGAGATGGCAAGGGAAAGAGGGGAGATAGGAAAGAAAAGGAAAGGAGAAAGCAAGAAAGGAAAGAAGAGGGAGGGAAGGAGATAGAAAAGGGAGGAAGGGAGATAGAATAAAGGAAAGGAAGGAAGGAAGGAAAAGAAAAAAGGGAGGGAA